ACATAAGAAAGTAAGCTAAGGTGATGGTGTGAAGAAAATTTTGGTTCTGACCATTAAAAAAAAGTGTCCCTGGTTGAATGGCAGCTGTCACTGATAAGAATTTCATGCCAGTCTGTGTTTTCTTCTAATTGGGAGAAGACTTTGTGACAGATCCCAGACCTGTGTACCCAAAGGGTCCACTGAAGTTGAGATCCTGTGTATTCACATAACTGACCTCGTTTGGCTGCCTGCCCATTTCGGTTCTAGTTATTCCCAGGGTCCAGGATCTGAAGGCCACATCCACGATGACTGCACTCTTCTTGGCCCTGGTGACTGCTGCCTCCCGATTGGCTGGACGGGCTGACCTCAGCATCCCTCAGCCGGACTGAAAGAATCTCAGCTGCAGCATCTCCCACTTTCATCCTCAGTTAAGAAAGAGAAGCCTGAAACAAGATTTTTTTCAAAAATGTATGCTCCCCACACCAACCTCATTCTCGAAGTGAGGCTAATAGCAAAGGAACTGGGGCCTTCTCAAGGGGACAGTGGGAGGTGAGTGGGAGGCAGGGAGGTGCCTCCAGGAGTTCGTGTCTCCTAAGTGCTGTTTCATTCTTCCTTCCTCATTAAGACTATGGAGCCTGGCTTTCCATGTCCTGGGAAGTAGACCAGCATTTGAATTTGCCAGCCTAGGCAACATTTAACTCATAAGAGATACCCATGTTAGCATACTGAGTTGCAGAATCTTGGGCCAGGACGCCCATAGTAATAAATTCAACCTGATTCCAATCTTTTTCATGGTGGAGGACCCTCACAATTTATTCCCATAACTTCTCCCCCATTTTTGATAATATAAATCAGCAAATTCCTTCCATCCCTGACCCCCGGACAACCCTTCTGTTTTCATTCCAGAATTCCTAAGCTTTGAGCTTGCAAATTCACACATGCATTTGCTCACTGACTGCTTAAGTGCCTACTCCGTGCCAACTTCTGTCAGAGAAGAACAGAAGAAATAAACAAGTGCTAAATGTGATGGTCCCAGGGGTGATAAGTATTTCCCTCCTTCATAGACCGGATGTCGTCAAAGGAGCCATCTCACTGAGGCAGGAGATGAGGGCAGGGCAAAGAGGCTGGGCAGTTGAGCGTGGCCTGTCAACCAGGGAGCTTTGTTAACCGCAGAGATTCAGGACACAGGAAATGCTTTCTTCAACCCTCCCAGCATGGGATCTTCACAGGAGCGAGCCAATCTCCCTGCACCTGATGCCAGTCAGAGGGCGCTGCCCTCAGTTCTTCCGGCATGAAAACCAGCTGAGCTCTGCACCTGGTACCAATCTTCTGGTGCAAGATCTGGCAGGTTTTTGACATCAGATAGAAGATATAAAGGATGACAGCTATTAACTTTGCTGCCACTACCCGCTTGTTCTCGCGGAGACCTGCCCTGCATGCAGGGCGTAACCTCTCTCTTTCCTTCACAGAACTTTTTCTTCTTGATCACTTCTTCTGAATTTCCTTTTCTTCTTCTTTTGCCCTAATAAACATTAAACTTCCGCATGTATCAGTTGTCCTGTCCAAATCTTTGAACAGGACAGTAAGAAGCTAGAAAGTATCACTGCTGCTGGTCACTACGATGCCTGGTAACAACACCAGGAGATCTCTCTCTCTCTCTTTCTCTCTCTCTCTCTCTCTCTGTCAGTCACCGCCAACACCACCCAGCTTTGTCCTTGGTAAGCAGTTGGCTATTTAGCAACTGCGATACCATGGGTAGCTAATGTTCCAAGTCACTGCCCATGTCTTCCCAATAACCTGTGCCTGATTTCTCCTTTCCCTCAGGGCCTATTGTCTGCAGTCCTCATCCTGGTACCAATTTCCATATCAACTGAAGTTCTTCTAGCTGTAAGCTATAGCAGTTGTAATGGGGACTGAACCCCGACTTTTTCACTGAGATACATCCCCAGCCCTTTTGAGACAGGGTTCCACTAAATTGTCCAGGCTGGGCTCAAACTTTCAATCCTCCTGCCCATGCCTCTCAGAGTGACAGGAATATGGGTGTGTACTGATACTATAGAGACTTATTTTGGGTAGCTAAACAAAAAATATTGATGAAAGAAAGCTGAATGACCTGATCCACCATGCTTTGAGAATGACAGGACCCAGGGAGTCTTGGTAGCAGCTCCTCAGATAGTCTCTTTATGATATCAAAGGCGGAAGGGCTCTGTCCCATCTGTGAATCTCATAAAACTGCCAAAGACATAGAGTGCCCAGAGAGAGTTTGATGGGCTGACTTTGGTCATGTGTCTACCTTTGGGGCTGGGACTTCATTGTGATTGAGGCCATTCGTATAGAAGGAGTGAGTTCCCCAAAGAAAGACCAGTGTGGTGATGTCAAAGGCTGCTGCCCAGAGCAGAACAGAGATATTCAGAGGGCTAGGCCTGGGTACCCGTGGCTCCTGCTTTACCTGCCTGTGGACCATCGACTGAACCCTGATCATCCTTAAAGGCTCCAGCTCTGGTGGCAGCTCCTCTCCACAGCTCTATAGGAAGGCTTCCCAGGCAGAAGTAGTTGTCCGCTACTCTGAGGCTCTCAGACCCTACACCACACCTCTGTTGCCCATGCACACATATGGCTTATCCGTGCCCACTGGAATCAGCACAAAATCTTTCCATCTTCTCAACCAACACAACGTTGGAAACATGATTGCCAGATTGAGTGGGATGAAATCTTTTCTCACTGTGTCAAGACTTCATAACCAGTAATTTGCACCTGTTTCTAACCAGGCAGCTCTGGTGGGAGGGGCTTCCTGGTGGCCTGGCAGTTTCTCTCTGACTTCTGGCAGCTTTTCTACTTGTGTTAGAAGATGTTTCTGGGGACAACTGCCCTGGTTTGTTCTAGGTTTGAGCTCTTTGTTTGGTGTATCTCATCTTGCTGGGTTTTCTCCCAATTTGTCCTTTCTCTTTGTGTAAGGGAACTCAACCATTGGTTGTGTGTTCTGGCTGGTATGCTAACTTTCCACGTATCTTTCAACAATTTATTACAGCAGAACTCATATTTCTGAATTAAGAATCTGGGGTTTACAGAAAATATCTCCGGCACTGCCCAAACCTGTATTTTTCTGTGGAACTAGTGTGGTTTGGGCTCCACGTTTTTACTGAATCGGTTTGGATTTAGCTTTTCTCCCCAACATCAGGAGAGCAGGCCCTTCTCCTCACCCACTTCCAATTTAATAGTCATTCTGGGTTGTTTTTTTGTTTCTAATGGTGTTTCTAGAAACGCCCTTATTTCTGCAAACACAGAAGTGAGAGGGATGCACCGTGGTCCTTTCTGTAGCATCTGCTCACCCTCTTCATCCGTGGCCAACAGAACCTAGATTTTAATCTGGAAAGCCAGTGCTTCTATATTGCATGGCCCTTGTGTAGCTGAGTGATGTATTTCCCCTTCCCCAGGTCCAAGGATGGGCCTCAAAGGACAAGCCAAGCAGCCTCATCTTCTCCCCTTTGCAACAAAGATCAGGCCAGGCTGGTCCTGTAGAACAGAACTAGAGACTTGCTGTGATGACTGGGAAATTTTGCCTCCTGTCTTCCCCAAGGAATATTCAAAAGTGGAAGGCCCTAGTGGCACAGCCTTCTTCCAACCATGAGAGAAGTCAGCTCATGGACAAAGGTGCTACTGGAAAGAAGCCAGGTGGATAGAACTGCAAAGGAGACAGAACCAGAGTCTTGATCTCAGCGTGTCTGAAAGCCCCGTTAACTGCAGGCTCTTCACTGACTTCAGCCAATAGGGAACCATGTCTGGCCTCGCTGAGCATTGTGTCCCTGGCACATAGTGGGTCCTCAGATATTGCACTGACTGAATGAGCAATGACTTCTTCCAGGCTTTATGGTCTGAAGGACCCTTCATGGTCTGAGGGAAGCAACAGAAGGCTGTAGCAAGAAGCCATATGAAGAATAAGGGCTCTCAGTACAGTGTCCACAACACCAAGCACTTGGCAAATGCGAGGCGTGTCCCATTAGTAAATGGTAGTCATTTGCTTTTGCCATTTTCATTATTAGGACGACGATGACAACGATGATGATGATGATGACCAGGCTGAGACATATTCGTATCGGAACAGATAGTGCCCAGCTACTCACCTCTGCCCAGGTCTCTACCCCAGCCTCCGTGCCAGCTTCGCCACCCATCCCCCACAGCCCCGCTCACCTCCCAGCCACCTCCACACCCTCCACCTGTCACTTGGGGGGCCCAGCTGCATGCTCGTACGTGCTTTGAGCTCTGGGACAGCAGATGCCTCCTCTGTGACCTGGTAAGGGTGGAAGGAAGGAGGGACACGGTGTTACAGGCCCTCCTGTGGGCAAGACCTCCCGACAAGGGTCTTCCACCTCTCGTTTTCTTTCTGTCTGGTCTACGTCCCTGAAAGATCAGTTCAATCATCTTCATTTTCTGAATGATGATGCTTAGGGAGCTTAGGGAGGTGATGGAAGCTCCCCCTAAGTGGGGGGGGCCAACACCCAAGACTTGCTCTTTTTTGGGTACTGGGGATGGCACTCGGGTCCTTGCACTTGTGAGGCAGGAGGTGGAACCACTGAGCTAAATCCCCAGCCCTACTTTTTTTTTTTCCCCCAAGACTTGCTCTGGCTGGTGCATTGCTGCACTGCACTGGTGGTGTGAAAACCATCATGCCGATGACCTTTTCCAGATGCCTACAGCCACCCTCCAGGTCCAGGTCCTACCACTATTGCAGCATAGCAGTCTCTCAGTTGCTGTGTTACCCCCGCCAGGCTCTGGACAACACCCTGGGTTTTTCTGCCAGAGGCACAGACAGGCAGGGTCTTGCCCAGGCTCATCCTTAAAATGGGTCACAGAGGCGATTGTCTCTAACACCTGACTCTCCCTGGGACCAGTCCGGCTGTGCAGGAACAGCAGTGATCCAAGCCACCCCAGGGACCAAAGCTAATTTTCAGCTATTTAGGAGGAGGCAGATCCTTGGTGACTCACTGTTTGAGCTCTGGTGACCCAGGCCAGGAGCCAGGGTCTGCCACGAGGTACCCTCATTAAAATCAAAAGGAAATGGTGAGCAGAGGGCACCCTCACCCCAGAAGAGCACGACTCACAGCCGCTGGGAGCTCCAGGGCAGGTGTACTCCCCTCTCTGGCCCCCCAGCCCCTAGTCTTCTGTACCACAGGGTGAGAACACAGCAAGGAGAGGCCCGGGGGAGTCATCAGCAGGAGTGAAGGGGCAAGCAAGGAGGCAGGTGAGCTTTAAGCCCAAGTGGAGGCCCAGGAATCTTTGAGGCTCAGCCTCTGTCCCTGTCTGACTTCAAGGCAAAACCTCCCCAAGGGGGCTCCAGCCTCTTAGCCCACACAGGTTGTCTGGATTCCTTCCTGGGAGTCCCAGCCACTGGCAGCTCCTGGGTCTCTTCTTCCAGCAAGGAGGGTGACCCAGGCCCCAAATCAGGGCCCGAAGCCAGCTTCCGTTCAAACTCAGCATAATCTTTATCTGGGGGCCTTGGACATGTCTTTCTTCCAGATTAAAAAAAAAAACAAAACTAAATTTTACAATTGCAGTAATGTAAAGACAAATATAATCCAGACCATTCTTCTGATTTTGTAAGAAATTAGAAGATTTTGGGGGACACCCCCAAAGTTCCATAGGCAGTAGGCACTGTGCCTTCTTTGCCTGGTAGATAACTTTTCCTTCCTGGGATAATTTTTCCTTTGGGATGTCTGAGCCCAAATTGTGGCTCAGCATTTATTTAGGCACGCGCTCCAGGTTCCTCTCTGGAGAATGGGAGGGCTGTTGAGGGTTTGCTGGGATCCCTTGGGGTGTTGCATTGTGCCTCGGACATACCTAGAGAAGTCCAGCTACTTAGCGGCAGGAGAGAGGCGAGGTCTTCCAGGCCTGTGACACTGATAGGAAGACTGAGGCGCTAGCAAGGAAAGGACCTGCCCAAGGCCACGTAATAAGCAGAGATGCCAGGACTGGCCACAGACTCAGCAAGCCCCGAACACTGACAAAAGTGGACAGTCGAGTTATCCCAGTTGCAGGTAGGGAACAGGGAAGGCAGGGGAGGACATCCTGCCTCCGGTTCGGCCCAGTGGAACCATGGAAATGACAGGCTCGGCACTGGGCCCTCCCAGGCTGGGAGAACTGAAGTCTCCCTGCCTCTCCATGTCTCAGCGGCCGAATCGGGAAAAATAGGATGGAGGAAGAGATGCCAAGAATGAAAAGCACAGCACGGCCAGTGGCCCCTGGCTCAGTCCGTGGGAGCTGGGGCGGTGATTCGGAAGAGGTGGGCAGTGGGGAGGGCAGAAGGGAGAGAGCCCGGGATGGCCTCACTCTCACTCCCATGCTGCCAGGCCCCTCCCCCGGGGACCTGGCCCAAGTGTCAGACCTGGAAGGATTATTGCATCATCGGGCACTCGGGGGTTAATGGTGGGGAGTGGACAGGACATAGTATTTAACTGGGAGGTGCCCAGATCAGAGGCGACCCTGCTCCCTTCCTTCTGCTGCTGCAGGCTCTTCTGCCCGCTCCTCACCTCCCTTCCAGGATGAAACCTCCCCCTGTCCTGACCTTCCTTTGTGTCCTGGGTAAGTGACCTCCATGACCTTCCCCGTCCCTACCCCAACTGGCAACCCCAGCTCCTTGGATGTCCCTGAGCCGGGCTCTGCTGAGAGCATCATGGGCACGAAATGTGAAGGTCACCTCCTTCATGCCACTAACCAGGGTGATACTGAGGCCAGCTTGGAATAACCTAGCAGTGGCTACAGGAGGAGAGGGGAGGGAGAGGCGGGAAATGCAGCCTGAGAAGAGGCGAGGGGCACGGGACCCCGGCGGTACACACAGGGCTCCTCCACCACGCTGGCTTCTGTTTCTGGCTCCAGCCTGTCTTGGACACCTCCCACCCTCACCAAGACTGAATCAGAAGGACCCTGAGGAATTCAGAGAGATTCATCAAGGTGGTTAGGAAATATATCTAGTGGTGTCTGGTGAGATCTAGGGGGACATACAGGGGCCAAAAACAACAATTCTTTGGGGAAAAAGTAACGATTCTTTGGGAGAGGTTTGAACAGCCAGTGGGGAGAACCCAGAAGGGGTGAGCGAGCAATATTCTGGGAGTCAGTGGGGCACACGGGGTGGGTGACGTGGATCTGATGGGGCAGGATTAAGGGATTAGGGTGCAAAATTACTTACTGTCATGTCACTATTGTTGGTTTTTGGGCGCTTTGTGGACGGGAGTTTCACTGGACAGCTGAGATGTCTGGAATTAGATTTGAGGAGACCTCAGGGTTGGACCCTGGATGAGATGTTCGGTGGTCCTGAGGGAACTACTGGCCTCTGCCCTGTCCCTCCACAGCGGCTCTGGCCAGCGGGAACCTGGTGCAGTTTGGGATAATGATTGAAAAGATGACAGGGAAGTCAGCACTGCAGTACAACGACTACGGCTGCTATTGTGGCCTTGGTGGCGCCCATAGGCCTGTGGACCAGACTGATTGGTGAGGAAGTAGCCCGCAGGGACCCCTGGGCGGAGGAGGAGCCAGAGCATCCCCAGAGGAGGGAGGATCTGAGGGCACCTGGACACAAAGACTGACCCTCTCCTTCAAGCTCCTTTGGGGCCTGGGGCCTGGGGCCTGGACAGCCCCGGGTCCTACCCAGCCTGGCTCACAGACCCCTGCAGGTTGACTGTGACCCCACAGGTGCTGCCATGCCCACGACTGCTGCTATGGGCGAGTGGAGAAGCTGGGCTGTGAACCCAAGCTAGAGAAGTATCTCTTCTCTGTCAGCCAGGGTAGCATCGTCTGTGGTAAGAGAACCCTAGAGCGGCCCAGACACTGGGAGCGGTTGGGTACAGCGTGAAGCAGGAAGCCCCTCCTGATAGCGAGCTTTGACCTTGTCAGAGCCAGAACCCGGGCTGGAGGCATGAGGGTCCCATCATCACGTAAGACTAGAGAGGTCTGTCCGTCTGCCCAGATGCCGCTGGGCACTGGGGCTGGAAAACTCCGTGGCCCTTCACTGCAGTCCGCACCACACCTCAGCTCTAGTGCTTCCAGCCAGAGACACCACATCCACAGCAGCTGGACTCACGCCCAGCCCTAGGATGGAGCCAACAGCAACGTTCATGTGAGCCAGGGCTCCTGTTCCCAAGGGCTGACTTCCCCAGGAGGGTTGTAAGACCGGGCCCATTTTGCTCCACTCAGCCATATCCATAGCCAATGCCTATTTGGACCAATTAGCTTTCCTCTGGGGCCCACATGGGGAAGCAGCCCAGGCCACGAGAGTGCCCAGGGTGTGCAGATCAAAGGATCAATCAAGCCTTCTTCCTGCTGTAAAGTCAAGCGCAGCCTGGAGGGAGGGCAGGGCCTAGCAGGTGCGGTGCAGAGAAGGACCTGGGACACCAGACCGAGGCTGAGCTGACTCAGAGCTTCTTGTTTCCGCAGTCGGTCCACTCAGCAAGGCAGCTTTGTTAGGTAGTGCGCTCCCGCTTCGCGGAGGGTTCGTGCAAGTTTGGCATAATCCGCTGTCATGATGGTGCTGAGCGAATGAGGGGAGGGAGGTTTCAGATAGGTCCGACAGGTTCTGGGTCTTCTTGGGGCTTCACCTTCTGCCCCCCATGTGCCTTGGGACAGGTGACAGCCCCTACAAAGCGTCCACTTCCCCAGCTCCCATGCCCGCTTCGCCAGCTGAGTCCAGTTCCGGGTGAGACTCGCAAAGAGGCTGTCAGGGAACCACGCCCCTTCCGCTCAGTCCTGCGGAAATAGCGGGTGTGGGCAGAATCCCATGCAATTGAGTCTTCCCTTGGAGTAGGAAGTGAGGCACCAGGACCCTTCTGGACAGGGGAATGTTTTCGCAGAACAAAAGGGAGCCAGAGTTACTTTGGTCAGAGAGACAGCTGCAGCAGAGGGGCCTAACAGCGCAAGCCTGGACACGGGCCACTCGGAGGCTCACACAGGCCTTCTGGAGTTGAGTGCAGCATTTCTTAGCTTCCCTTTGCTTATGGCCATAGTACACAGTCACAGGGAAGGGGTGGCCTAGAAATCCCCTGGGCAGGGGCAGGTGATAGTGAGTAATTGCCGTGCAGGATAGAGCTAAGGGCCATCACAGTGCACTTGGGGGAGAAAGGACACAAGAGCAACTTCTGGCCAGCTCAGTATCCTGGGCCCCAGCAGGCCCTCCCGTGCCCTGCCCCTGCCCCTCACCAGTCCCTGACGCATCCCCCAAGAGCCGGGACTCCTATGAGTGTGGGGTGGGTGATGGGGTCAAGATCAGGGACCCACCGGCATCCAGGAGCCGCCCCATCTGTGTCGGAGAGCGGGAGGCCCGAACCTCCATCCACAAGTCTCTGACTTTGTCCCATGCAGCCGGCAGGACCACATGCCAGAGGCAGACCTGCGAGTGTGACAAGGAGGCTGCGCTCTGCTTCCGCCAGAACCTGGACACCTTCGACCACAAATATGTCAATTACCCCAACAAGCTGTGCACGGGACCCACCCCACCCTGCCCATCTCCTCGGCCCAGCCTCTGACTGCTGTAATCCCAGGCCAGGGGAAGCTCAGAACCAAAGCCCTCCCTCTGGGAAATTCCTTTCCTGCACACCTGTCCTTCCCACAGCACTCCTGGGCTGTGGCTTCCTGGGCTGCCCTGTCTCCCCCGGGGAGGAGCCATGGGACCCTCTGGTACCCACAAAATGGGCAGGTGATAGTGAGTAATTGCCGTGCAGGATAGAGCTAAGGGCCATCACAGTGCACTTGGGGGAGAAAGGACACAAGAGCAACTTCTGGCCAGCTCAGTATCCTGGGCCCCAGCAGGCCCTCCCATGCCCTGCCCCTGCCCCTCACCAGTCCCTGACGCATCCCCCAAGAGCCGGGACTCCTATGAGCGTGGGGTGGGTGATGGGGTCAAGATCAGGGACCCACCGGCATCCAGGAGCCGCCCCATCTGTGTCGGAGAGCGGGAGGCCCGAACCTCCATCCACAAGTCTCTGACTTTGTCCCATGCAGCCGGCAGGACCACATGCCAGAGGCAGACCTGCGAGTGTGACAAGGAGGCTGCGCTCTGCTTCCGCCAGAACCTGGACACCTTCGACCACAAATATGTCAATTACCCCAACAAGCTGTGCACGGGACCCACCCCACCCTGCCCATCTCCTCGGCCCAGCCTCTGACTGCTGTAATCCCAGGCCAGGGGAAGCTCAGAACCAAAGCCCTCCCTCTGGGAAATTCCTTTCCTGCACACCTGTCCTTCCCACAGCACTCCTGGGCTGTGGCTTCCTGGGCTTCCCTGTCTCCCCCGGGGAGGAGCCATGGGACCCTCTGGTACCCACAAAGCTCGCTCCCCCTCCCCCAGGATCCCTCTTCTGAAGAACTGAACAGTATTTCCCTATAATTTCCCGAATACTCTTTGATTCTCAGATTCTGACACCCTAGGATTTAGGGCCTACCGTTTCATTCATTCATTCATTATTTTGAGCACCTACCTTGTGCCAGCTCCATTCTACACACTGGAACGCAGTGGAAACAAGTCCGGCACCATGGCCCCTGTCTACAGTGCCAACATGAAGTCCTTTTACTTTTCCACAACAGTTAAGTTTCTGTGACTCTTTTCCTCTAATCTTCTACAATCTTACCCAAGAAAACCATGCCAATTCCTGGGAGGGATATTTCTGGCTGTATGGTTTAATGTGAAAAGCATGAAAAATATCAACCTAAAAATATTATTCCCCATCGTCAGGCCTCAGAACACGCACACTGGCAAAAACTGCTTTAGGGAGAAAAGCAGCTGTAGATCTAGCTCATTTTGTCAATGATAGGCACCTGGGGGTCAGAGACAGGATGCCCTATGGAGGGGAGCCCTCTCCCTGGGCCCTCTCCTTGGGTCCTTCATTTCCTCAAAAAAGTAGCATCACCTACCAACATCCTACAATTGCCACCTTGGAGAGACCAGGGGTCCCAGACAGGTCAGCTGTGAGAAGATGAAGCTGGTAAGACTCCAGACAGCGAGGAGGAGAGTTCAACATCACAGGCTAAAGGATTCCCACCAAGAAGAGGCACACAGCCTAGTCTGGGAGTAATGTGTTTTAGCAGGTTTTACTCCCAACGACAGCTACAGCAACTCCGCAAGCCACAAGGTGAACTGACTTAAGGAGACGAAGGGTATCAAATGTGCCATGCTGGGCAAAGCTCACAGCCCAAGCCCAGAAAACATGGTCCTCCCTCATCCTTCTCATGACCTGTGCACAACCGTCAGGACTAAGAAATCAGAGAGATGTTTTGCCATGAACTTCAAAAGGTGAAGAAGCTCCGTGCTAACACGTGAAGTTGGCGGTGGACCTGTGTATGTGTGCTTCTGCCGCTGCGACCCTCCAATCACTGGCAGGCGGTGTCTCAGAGCAAAAATGGCTTACACTGAGGGTAAGCAAGACCAGCATTTGTCAGGAAAAGTGGTCGTGGGGCGCCCTCTGGTGCCATCTTGTATTAGGCAGAAACCTGAATTTGTCTTATACCTGGATTTCAAGTGGGCAGCATGCTTGTGGGCCAGGTAAACTTCTGGGTGTTTGTTTTCAATAATAAATATGCTGAGAGATCACCAAGAGAATACCTCGCAACAACCTTACAATGATAGTTCCTGCCCCAAAACAAGAAACTCAGGAAAACGCCGATGTGGGTGGGATGGAGAGGTTCTTTCCGGGCACCGTGGACTTCTGGTACAACAGGATGAGTACCCGGTGATCTTATAGTTGTGGAACTGTTCAACAAACTGAAAATTACAAGTTAGGAACAAGAATTCCGTGTGGCCTATCCTGACTCTTTGTTTTCTCCCCAAGCAAGTTGTAGGCTGCTTGGCTACAGACCAGTCTTATCCTTTGTTTGTGCAGGGTGCAATAAATGAACAATGAATGAAATCAAGTAGTCTGTCTACATTCCACTCGCACATGTGTGTATCCACAGTACCACCCCTTGACTTCCAGCCACAGACTTGTAAACAGGACTGAAAAAGGAAAGGAGACTCCTGAACCTGAAGTCAGGGGCTCCAGGTTCCCCACCATTTGGTTTTCCCACCGTGCTGGAGGCCTCAATACTCGGCGGGGCCCATGGATAGCAGCAGCACCTTATTAGAAAGGCAGGAATCCTGAGCTGACCCCAGACCTGCTGAATCAGCATCAGTCGGCCAACACGACCTGACTACATATGAAAACCTAAGGCACGCTTCCAAGGGGTTACAACTTTCATCTCTACATCTGCGAAATGGAACAGTGACATTTCTCTGGCAATTTGGTTGTGGCAAGATTTAAATGAGTCGGTGTACACGAAAGCACGGTTATAGGCCCACTACAAACATGATGCGTATTTGTGTCCTGTGAATGAACGAATGGATCAATGAATGAATGAAACAGCATAACAATAATAGGTAACATGTATTAAGCACTTGGTATTTTTAGGGCACTGTTCTAGGTGCTTTATGTGTATCCATTCACTGGACGGACGGACGGACAGACGGACGGATGGGTGGGGCAAGGCTGGGGAGGGGATGTTGTTACCGGAGTGTTTCCTAGCTCACCTCTCCAGTTTTGATGACAGGCTTTATATTGGTTTTGCTTTGTTTCTACTTAGCCTCCAACAAAAGCTGTTTGAAGTGTGTTCAATTAACTTGATGAGTAAGTGCTTAGAAAGCACGATGGAATTTCTGAGCTAACCAAAGAGTGATTACGATTTCACAGACACTTGTCTGCTCCTTCGGGGCTCTCTGCATTGTCACCACTGGGGAACTGAACCGAGTACCTTATTAAAGTTCATTTTTTTCTTTGGTAAGTGTCATATAAACTATGCTTCTGGACTTTTGCTGGATGCTGGCGATCCAGAAAAATTAAGATCCATTCAACTGACAAACAGATGCCAAGTGTTCAAGGCAGTTCTAGGCCAAAGCTAAGGAGGTACTAGGACCAAAGGTTCTCGGACCGCCATCCTCCATCTAGTTTCTACCCTGGCCACTGATGGCTTCATTTCCATCGCGTTGCTCTCCCCCGTCCCCCCAAACCATGGCTGGGCTCCAACTTTCTGTCTCTAATCCCACCATTGCTATCTGTCCTTCCCACCCATCGTGGACATGCCCACCTACCCTGTGCCTTTCTTTCATGCGGCAGCTTCTCTTCACCCGTTTCCTTTGCTCACACATGCATTGAGTGCTTTACAGATTTCGCCTTTCCAACTGGAGACTCAACCTCCTCTGAACTGCCCAGCCCTGTGTTTAGATCTTTCCCAATGCTGCTTACCCACTTACTTGGTTTCTCTACAGTGGAGGCAGTGGCCTTGGGTTCAAATCCTGCCTGTTACCAAGGTGTGATCTCAGGCCAGTTGTTTACGTCAGTGAAATGTAGATAGAAGCCTCAGCCTCACTGATGGTCTGAAGACCGAGACGATGTATTCAAGTGCCAGGGACATTACAGACACCCCATCTGTGTTCCATCCCCCTCTATTTCTTGCCTCCCCTATTGCATTCATTACACCGAAGCTAAAGAAGGATCTGCTCAGCTGAATTCATGGGCATATGACAACCGGAATTATTCAAAGAAGCGGCACTACAGATAGGATAAATGCTGTACTAATTCATTAGAACGGCCTCTGGGCTACTACACTACCAGCTGAGCGCTCCTCATTTATCTTATGGTTCCCAAGCCCAACAGGTGAAAGCGGCTGCAAAGACAACACAGCATTTTCCCTGGAGGGCTGCTCTCCCTGATGTCCCAGGTCAGAGTGCATGGCTGAGCCAATGCCACACACTGAAAACTCAGCAGGCTAGACTGAGTACACTGGACTTTTAGAATTCACTCAGCAAGCACAGCATCAAGGAGTGTCCTTATACCACAGGGAAGTTCCAACAAGCTTATTCAGTAAGTTGGAAATGCTTCCTTCTACCAAGACAGAATCTATCAAGTGGCGGGACTGGTTTCAACCCTTTTCAATCAAAGAGTTGTAAATCTCTGCCTAACTATGGTCTGAGAGTACTTTTCTCCAGCTGCCCAGCTAGAAGCACACCGACACAGGGCATTTTAGGAAGTATTGTACAAGCCACAATACTTTGCGAATGTGCAGTGAGGGGAGGTAACCAGGAGCTCATGGAGTTTCTGGCCGATGGGTAACTCGAAAGCCCTGGTACTGAACCACACGTGAGCAGTTGCCATGAAGGGACCTGTGAACAAGGGCATGACCACTCGTGCCCACCTGTTTTGAAAACACTCCATCCTGACTCATCCAGCCTCCCTGTTAGAAGGCCTGATAGGTCCCCTACCCTAGACATGAAACCCCTCTGGCCCCCAGGAAAGAGGACCTGGCCCAGCTGAACTCTTGGAATGGAACTGAGGCCACTGAAGTTTTGCAATGGGGCCGGGACTTAAACTGAGACATCACTCTGGTCCCTTACCCGATCCTCCTGAATGAACCCCAGAGGCTCAGAAACTGGATAATTTATGTTCACCCCGAGATGCCCAGTGTCTCGCGTGTGGACTGAGTCTAAAATAACATGAGGAAGGTTTAAGTGAGGATGGGCGGATTTCTCTGCCAGTAACCAGAATATTTTCTGGCCCTTTTGCTCTAAAGAGCCAATTCAGAAAGCTGCATTTTGAGTACAAAATTGAAAACAGGCAACAGGAGGAGTTGAGGTCAGTCATAAGGACAGGGAGGTCTAGTGAGCCAGCCCCAGCCCCTCTTGACTGGCCGGAGACCTGACATGGACTGGCCCTGCTGGAAGACCTGGGGCTGCCCCTCCTCCTGATTTTCTATATCCACTGTTCTCCTTGCTCCTCTGTGGGCCACTTCTAGGGGAGTCTGTCCCAGTCACTGCTGTCGAGGTGTGACTGAGGATAAGAGCCTCCTCCCAGACTGGATCAAGCCAACTCAGGGCCCTAGAGAAACCCCAAAGTGACACCTGACAGCGCTCAGTGTGCCGACAGCTGTGTAACACAGAGCTGCTCTGAGGTACTGGGTTTAGGTATGCCGATGTGTGCTGTGGCCACTTACCTGTAGTGAAGCTTCATCGATGCCAGCTCCCAAGAGGCCATGGAACCAGAACACCACCTAACCCACAAGCACACACACATGCGCGCACGACCTGCGAGCAAAGATCCCTCACAAGGACACTTCCCAGCATGCTCTCGTGGTCCCTCTCCTTCACTCAAATGTTGGCCCGATGTTGATAAGACAACTCGAGCTGGGGACACAGCGCAGGGGCAGACTGCCTGTCTAGAGTGCACAGAGTCCTGGGTTCAACCCCCAACACCACAATACAGAAAACACACATGCAGCCTGAAACTTTGTTTTTAAACAGGAATTTACTGGTATACAAAACTCCATTTCATAGATAAGTGGCACATCTTTGCAGCTTCTATTGCACCAAGTATTGAAGATTAAAAACACAAAAAGAAACATTTGGTTTTGAAAACACTGCAAACAGCCCAGTACAGTACTTTGGTAAATAAAAAATAAAATGGTTCAGGTGAACACAATCTGAGGAAAGAAACAGCCTAGGGAAAAGGAACTATGGACATCAGACATGGTCGTGTTTCTCACCCCGAGCTCCACAGCTAAGGCAGACTTGCTAAGTCTACGGATCATGACCCCATAGAGGTCTTAAATATCTTCAAACCGAAGCTAGAACAAGAATAGTGCAATTAGGACAAAGAGAAGGCCCCTTCCCCAGACACTCCTGCCCAACTTCCCAGAGGAACTGAGCACATCAGCAGTTTGACAGCAGGAAGGAGAGCACAGAGGTGCTAAGTCTGATCTCCAGCTCTCTTCACCCCTCCTCTGTGCTTAGTGCTGGAGAGGGACTCTGGGAGGGCAGATGTCGTAGAAACTGAACCCCAGAGGTGGGAAGATGTTAGGAGCCTCACATCAGCTTGGCTCAAGTGTCAGCTGAGAGACGTGCCAGGGGATCAAACCCCAGGCGGAGGTCTGTGACTGAGCCTGATTGTCATGGACAGCTGGCATCAGGGACCTGCTAGATGTTAACAGGCAAAGGATAGGAGTCACACCCCAGAGGTTTCCTCCAGGGATCGGGAGCTTCCATGAAGCCCAGCACAGCAAGGAGAAACTCCAAATCGTGGGTATGCCCTGCTTAAGCTCACTGTGCAAAAGTAAGTACTTTCGTGGGAATTATCCTTGCACTGAACCAGCCCCTTCTCAAGTAACTTTGGAAGGGTACTCAACATTTTAACTGAGCTACAAAGTAGTCCTTATGAGAACAGTTAAACAGAGAGGCTCTACAAAGAACGCTTGGAAGAAATTGCAAAGAGCCTAAGGCTCTGAAAGAGAATTTTACCTGGGAGACCAGGAGGGCCAGGCCATCCACAAGGCATGGTCTTTGTGGTGCAGGAGTGACACACTGGACACATGCCTGCCATGGAGACTCGGTCTTATCTCCATCACTAGAAATGCTCAACCTTCCCCTTCTAACACATGAGGGCAGATGTATCATAACTTCATTATCATTTAGAACTTCAATTCAAGGATGACAGCCGGAAAGTACAACTTGCTTTAGAGTCGGGGAAACACAACTTGTAAAAAATCCCATTATTTAAATGAGCTCAGAGGACCATGGAAGGCCCAGAGTTTGAGCAAATCCCTGGTCTCCGAGTGAAGGTGAGTAAAACCTTGACTAACGAGAATGACAAAACTGACACAAGGCATCAGACCCTGAGGCTCCGGGAGAGCAGAGCGTGCACTGAGGTACAGAGGTGAGAGCTATGTATCTACTCAACATGGGCATGAGGAGGGCGACAGAGGCAACACAATCAGGAAGCCCCGTTCTCTCCCTGCCCACAAAGTGCCCCCAGTCGGATGGGAATTCGTCAGTTCTGACCAGGGTTTCAAGTGTTCTCTGTGTCAAACTAAAATATTGAAGCTGAACATTTCAGAGGTAAACTGAGGGCATCCTATGTCAGTCCAGTAAAACACAGGCAGATTCTAGTTTCCAGAAGGGGAAAAATTGCACCCTGACTACAGGGCCTCACTGCCGAAGTCCACCCAACTCAACCACATAACGTGCTCACGGCTCACCTCACCTGCACAGGACGCCCCAGCCCAGCCCAGCTTCATGCTGTACCCTCTCCCCAGGGAAGGAGGCAGGGTTATAGCTCCAGCGGCTCCACATGGGAGAGCCCACTTCCCAGCCCTCGTAACCAGGAAGGCTCAGAAGTGTTCCAGAGCTCATGAAGACTATTGACAACTTCTAACACTGAGGATTCTTCTACCACAATTCCTCAAGCAGATTTTCTTCCAGAAAGGGCATGTTTATATCACTGAAAAATTAAATGTACATATACATTTATATCTCCTGGTGGCAACTATACTATTTAAAAGTTGTGGTTCTATGTTGTTTTAATATATCTACCTCTAGTTCAAAGCCACTGCCGCTAACATTTTAACATTTTTTTTTCTCTTCTTTTGACCTTTTAAAAAAAGGCTTTCTTAAAATCCACAAAACCTTTGTATGTAGTTGGTAAGGCCAGTGAGCAGCTATACACCACTGCTGCCCCTCTTTCTCCGGGCTCTAATGCAGGCCACCAAGACAATCTCGCCCTGAATTAACCCTTTCTAGCCAAGATGTGACCCTGGAAGCTGCTGCATTCAGTCCCCATAGAGACCCACGCAAGTAACAATCAGCTAAAAACCGTCGTCACCCAAAAACCAACCATGCAGGGCCTCCAATGTGGCTGCCGAAGAAGCGATCGCGTGCTGAGGCAGCCAGGCCTCCAGGTTCCCTGTCTCTCATTTCAGTGAGATTACGGCAACGAAGTCTAAATTCAGACGCTTACTGAGAAGGTAGCAAGGAAGGTGGATGCTTGTACCCACTTCTAATAATTAACACACTAAACACAAAACAACTGAAAGCTGTGAAATGGTAATAAAAGATTGCTAAAACCATTGGATTCGTTTTTTAAAACCACTGTCGCTATACCCCAGAAATGATAAAGCCTATTATCAGAAGTAGGTAATTTATAAATAAATGTTCCCCATATTGTCTAGTGACTTTAGCAGCTTCTAAAAACTTCAAAAGCCCAGTAGGCCCAAGGCTACTTCATTAACCAAGTTAATAAAGCAATTCTACTACTGTTGACAATGGGCCTCCTGTACACTATTTCTACTTTGAATTCTGAGTTTCTGGTACACAGTCTTGATCTTTCTGAGAGGAACTGGTCTTCTGCACTTAAGCAGTACAAAGGAGGTAAGAAAGCTGTTCGCTCGGAGAGGCTCAGCCAGCCAGGAACCTGCCTAGAGGTGAAAGGGAGAAGACTCGATCCTCAAGCACCCGATCCACACCCCTAGAGGAGGGTAACAGAGTGCCTTCCTTTGTTTGGACTGAGTCCCAGAGTCTCGAAGGTGGTACTCAGCAACGTACAGAGAAAAAATGCTGTGCAGTTTTAAAATCTGTGAAATACTGTGGTTCACTGTCACCAGGAAAAAGCCCACGTTACAACGTCCTGGGAGCAATTCCAACAGACTTCTAATGCTCCAACCACACAGTCCCAAAGTAAAACAAAGTAATGAAAGATGTCATTAAAACTGAAGAAAGCAAACAGGATGCTGACAGTAACAGTGCGATAGATCCAGAGCCTGCACAGATAATGACATAACCCACACATACCGAACTCTGCATATTTCCCTTCGCCTCCACTCTTACAATTTTGAAATCTAGGGGTAAAGGAGATAACAAACCATTTACCTTTTGAGTTAGGATACATTATCTACCCAAATACTAGGTTCCCAGAAGGCAAAGAACCCTGTCTAGGACTGGCTACCTCACATGTGACAATTTTAAAGTTCACATCCACCCCACTCCATTTCGGGAATGTGATCTGTGTACTGCCTCAATCTCTTTCAGAACTGTGGAGTCAACTGCGGGCCTTAACCAAGGGAGGCCCCTTCCCTGGTGGTCTAACCTAAGTCATCGCCAGCCTCAGGCAAAGCTGGAGTTTTCCTGACATCAAAATCCCCAGAGGGGCTTAAATAAAAATAAATAAATGTCAACTTCTAGGGACTTCATTTCTACAACACTAAGAAAATGTAGCGACCTAAATGGTCAAGTAACCTTTTACTTCTCTGAAGTCTAGAATAAACGGGAAGAATACACCATTACTTAAATTGAGAACACACAAAAACACTTCAGATACCCTTCTAGACTTCCCCTCCTATAAAAACGAGTAATTTTTAGGCTCTGGCTAGGCAGAAACTCAGGAGTCCCGACTTTACAACCACAAACTCTACTCCACAGATAATCAGAATCCCAGAACTGCCTCACAAGTAGTGCTACATTAGTTGTTTGGGAGACAATACCCAAAACAATACCACTGCCAACTTCTTAGCAGAGTCCAGGCCTCCCTGACAGTCAGACGCACTCATCCTATGGCTTGAGTTCCAATGAAACCATCTGAAATGACATCAGTCAGGAAGGAGAGAGACACAGTTCTTTAATTTCTACCCAGACAGCTGCAGGCCACCCCTGATATTGCATTACTTTGGGAAAACACTATCTGAATTAATTTCTGAGTAACCTGGATAAGAATGAAATTAAATCTAATTATTTTCCTGAGATAAAAACCATTTATAAGCCACCCTATGTATGTTGATATCTGTCTGAAAGAGAAACTAATTTAACATTCTGAATTTCTAATAATTACTCTAAACTACTTCATGAACAATTACAGCAAAACTCACCCCATGAGTTAAGGGAAGATCCCATGGTCAATGAACTCTGATTTCGAGGGCAAATAAAGCCACACTTAAAAAGGTTTTCCTCACCTATCTACCCCTAAAACTCAGTATTTTAAGTTGGTATTACAGAATATGAATGGCTTCACTGCATTTTCATGAAACAAAAACACAGCACTGACAAAATTCTACAAAAAAGAGGAAGCTTGAAGGAAACTAATTCAGTGTGAATTTCTTTCTGTGTGGGTTTTGTCGGTTATGTTTCACTTTGTCAAAGAATGGCCTCACTGGAAAGCCTGGCTTGCCGTACTCCGTCTTCCCTCTGCTTCTCACAGTTCCCAGGAGGCCCGAGTCAGATGTTCAGAGCAGCAAAGGTCTTCACCAAGGTGACTTGTGCGTTCACATCTGCCTCACTTCTGTTGTTGTCCCTGTGGCTGCTCCTGCTCTCCAAGGCTTTGAGACGATGCCTTTCTTCTTGTCGTTTCTTCTTCTCCAGCCGCTGCTGCTCCCTCCTGTGCTTGTTTGAGACCTGAAAGAGAACACTGCTCAAGTCAGCCAGCATGCTGCCTGCTGCGAGGAGATGCACAGGGTTTGGACTGCTTCTCAGCAAGAACAGAACCAGCCTAAGGGACTAAAAACTATCTATTTTCCATTATCGCTCCAATTTACACCGAAATGCATATCCCTTTGTATATCTGAACTAGCAGACAAAATCAATCCCATTCTCCTCATAAACCAATTCAAAAAGTGACCTAAAGAGACAACACTCATAAGGGCAGGGGGCCTTTTCCCTATTTTAGGAGCCCAGGTAAATATAATAAAATACTCAAAACTCACATCTTTGCCTCTGCCTATGGCTTTTTACCATAGGTAGCATTTTAAATTCAGAACTTCTTCCTGGGCGTGGTGGCGCACGCCTGTAATCCCAGCACTCGGAAGGCTGAGGCAGGAGGATCACTGTGAGTTCGAGACCAGCCTGGGCTACATACATAGTGAGCTCCAGGTCAGTCTCAACTACATAGTGAGACCCTGTCTCAAAAAACAAAGAAGAAATAATAAATTCAGAACTTCTTGATAAATGTCTTTTAAATGAGCTCCAAATTCAGTAAAATGATGTCACATCTACTTGTGGGAGTGGGAAGCAGGAGGGAAATGTACAACTTTTCTGGAAAGCATCTCACAATTTACCAAAAGCCTTAAAAAGATTTAGTTATCCACGCCCTTTAACTACACTCCTGGGATTCTACACAAGAAAATAATCCAAAACACAAAGATACAGATACAAAGCTGTTCACTGCAGATGTGACATTCATGCCAGGCGCAGACTAACGTGGGAAGAACCCACATGCAGGGGGCAGAAGGCTCCCTGTCTGTACACAGAGGTTAAGTGTCAGCACGTGCATCCTCTGGTTATCTCTGTGCACACCAAACAAGGTAACGTCTTCATTCTGCTTCTTGATAAACCTTTCTTCATCCCTCAGATTTGTCACAAAAACTACTTTTAAAAACCAGGAGAAAAACACTAACTAAAATGAAACTCAAGTTCCCACCACTGCAACAGAATTTCAGCAGCCCACCTTAGCCCTTTCAAGCCCCTCCTTCCTACCTTTGGGAGCTGGTTATGGGTTCTGTTTTCTTCACTAGGGCTGGCCCGTGCCTTACTGTTTTCGGTCTTGCCTCCGTTTAAATTCTGATTTCCAAAGATTCTGATGCCGGTGCCACCCTCCTCCCATAAAGGGTCACACTGCTTGAGAGCTCGGCCATTGGGCTCAGGATTCTCCTCTGTGTCTTCCCAAAAGAAGGTTATTTCATTAAAACTGAGAACCTAACAGACTTATATAATGTGCTTCCTGTGTTAAATGATTCCAACTTCACCCGGATCCCCAAATGACTGTCATTTAGGAAGAAACGATCCTGTCTCAAGTAATTCCTTAAGACAGAAATTCTAGTGTCAAGTCAGTACAGTGAAAAACATGGGGACAAAATGACTGGTAAAATTTGGATACATTTTTTGGGGGGTTATCAGGGATCGAACTCAGGATTCTACACTTGTGAGGCAGAGGGTAACAACACTGATCTAAATCTTGGGCCCATGGATACATTTTTAAATAACCTGTAGCTACTAAAATTTGAATTAAGATTAAGTAATACTTAAAATGTCACTGCCAATCTCACTCTCCCTCCATCTGTACACACATCATACTAAACAGCAGATACCAAATAATGCTGATCAATGTCCGAAAGGCCCAGTTACTTATGGCTTTTGAAGATGGCATGCTGATTATACAAAATGGGTACAAAATATTAACCACTTGGAAAACTATCATGTCAGGAACAGTGAGTAAATGGCATACAATGTCTGGCAATAAGTATTTATTGACATCACTTTAAGTAAATGATTCAAGAAATTAAGATGCTAAACCTTTCTTCCCTCCTCTATGTCACAAAATTAAACTCAATTCAAGGCAAAAAAATCTGAATTATCATTAGTTGATAGGTGCCAAGACTCTAAACATTTCCACCAGAAAAACAAGTGTTATAAGATCTTATTTCTAGAAAGGATCCTCTCAGAAATGCTCCAACTCTCCAAGAGTGGGTTAGGCCTCAATACTCATGTATTCTCCTAGCGCTCCCCGCCCGACCCCATTAGGTATTATTACATTACCCAGGCCACCTATCTGTCGCCACCATCCTCTCCCCACCCGCCAAACTCTTAATGCAGAGCCAGGACCTCATGAAAAATGCCATCGTACAGGAAGCACTCAGTAAGCAACTGCTGAGTGAATGGATTATCAGTGCAACCACTACCTGTGAGCTGACTCAAAATCTACATTTGGAGGCTGTCATCCCAGGCAACTGAACAACTCAGCAAGACCCGGTGTCAAAAAATTTAAAAAGGGCTGGAGATGTAGCTCAGGACAAAGCTCCTGAGTTCAATCCCTAGTACTGCAAAAAAATAAACAATAAAACTAAAATTAAGAAATACAAGTATTTGGAAAATTACCAATTCAATCATTTTAAAGACTTATAAGTAACAGTAATGGACTTACTGTTTCTCTTCCCCAGGTTCATCTGAAGCATTGCCATTATTGCAGATTCAATATTATAATTTTCAGCTTCCAAGTTCTGGACTATTAAATCAAAATCCTATTCAAGAAACAAAGAAACACTTCAAGGCTCTGGATATACTTTCCCAACCAGTCCTAAACACAAACATGTAGCCACAATGACCGACACAAGGTTTCAAGACCCTCAATCTCAAAATAGGTTGGCTACTTTAAAAAAACAAAATACAAGTGGTTCTGCTGCCTGCCTTGCAAGCACAAGGTCCCAAGTTTGATCCCAAGTACAAAAAAAAACAAAAACAAAAACAAAAAAAAGATACATCTGCAAATAAATTTTCTTTACAAAACTATACATGTTACACTGTGAACATCAGTCCGGAAAAAAATAAATCCACTCCTTAGACTGCGGAGCAATATTGGGTAAAGTGTAGCAAAAAAGAGAGAAATGAATAAACAGTTCTCATTAAATCATATCATAAAACCTAAAACTAGACCTGACTGGCCTATCACAGGATGGCATGCTAAAGAGAGGCTACAAAACTAGCAAGTAAATTGAAACAGCCACACTTGTTTATAAAGTGTCACATCATGGCAGGAATACTGACTGAACATCCAGTTGCATTACAAACTTTCTGGACAGCATCTTCTACTTCATCTTTCAGGTTATCTTCTAAGTCAACTCCTTTTGTCTTTATTTTTTCTCTTTTATTTGATTCATCTTGATGAAGTATCTGAAACTAAAAGGAACAAATAGCATAATTATCAAACTCCAGGAAATGCCACTCAGAAACTTCAACGCAGAAAGACACTATAATCTCAAGACATCTATCTACACATAAGGGTAAGCTGAAGGGAACAGCAGTGAGTAGGCTAATTTTCATCTACACACCGAGGCACCGGGCCACCACAGAAGAATGAAAAGCCCTAAGAAGAGAGATGAACCACTCAGCGAGAACATCATCAGAGCTCCTGTGGTTTCTGTACCTGAAAAAAAATCAACAACAAAAATAAAACTACTACAAATAAAAATAATAATGTCTGTCTCGTGCCACTGAATGTTGGAAATATCTGACTTTCTTTTCATTTGTACAAGAGCTCACAGCTAAGAGTTTGCCTTAAGTCTCAGAAGAGACTTTAGACTTGGACTGTTTAGCAATGCTGAAACTATTAGGATTTTGGCAGCTCTTAAGAGAGGGACTAAATGCTTTTTCACATAAAGGAGTATGTATGAGAATCTGCGGGGCCAGGGGTGGAATGCTATGGTTTGTATTCAGATGTCCCCCCGAAAGCCTCAAGTGGATGAGGTGGGACTTTCTTTTCAGAGGTAGTTGAATCTGGAATGTCTGACGCTGGGGTCAAGGGCTAGTGATTACTAAACCACTGCATCTGAATGATTAGTTTGGCACCGTCCTAATCCCAGTAGTGTGAGTACGATAAAGGGGGCAGAAAGACGGTCAAACTCCTCTTGTTGCCTTTGCTACCTTGCGCGCACCACACCGTCTCTCCCCTGCCAGGCCTGTTTGCCATCCCCGCCTTGGAGCCAGCTGACAATGGGCAGAAACCTCTGAAAACTGTGAGCCAAATAAACCACCCTCTAACTTTGGGCATCAGGTATTCTGTCTCAACAAGGAGGGAAAAGTGACTAACACGGGATGAAAGAATGAATTTGAAGAATTTTCTCCACTTCAAATTTTTGAAGAATTTGTATTTTCTTTTTTTTAATATCAGAATTCTGCAGTAACCTGGCTCTGAACTTTTTTGTAAGAAAATTATTACTAATAAATCTTGTTACTCATTAAAAAGAATAAACGTGGCAAATCGTTCACCTGATAAGAATCTCGTATCTAAAATACAGTAAGAAAACAGACAACCTAATTAAAAAACAGGCAAGGGGACTCGAATAGTTATTTCTCCAAAGATACAAATGGCAAAAAGCATAAAAAATGTTCAACATCATTAGTCATAAAGAAAATCCAAATTAAAACCATGAGAATACTAGGGTGGCCATTAGAGAGAATGTAGAGAAATTTGACGTAAAATGATTTGGCCACTCTGAAGAAGAGGATGGCAGTTCCTCAGAAAGTTACATTTAGAAAGTACCACCTAACCCAGCAATGCCACTCCCAGGTATATCTCCCAAGATCTAAAACAAGTTCTGAACAAATATATACACACTCACAGCCGTACCATTCTCAAGGGCCCAAAGGTGAGAACAACCCAAATGCCCATCAAAGGATGATTAGATAAACTAAAGGAGATACAGTCATGCAATGGAATATTATTCAGACATTTTTTAAAAAGTAGTGATACATGCTACAACATGGATAAATTTCAAAAACATTACACTCAATGAAGGCAGACAGGAGAGGTCACATATCAGGCTACACCCACACATGTCCAGAGTAGGTAAATGCAGAGAGACCAGGAGGCAGTCTCCATGGTTGCTGGGCAAGTGGGGACAGAACAGCTGCTTCATGGAGCGGGGTTTCCTTTGACGGTGACAAAAATGTTTTGGAACTAGGCAGAGGAAGTACTAGTACAGCATGGGGAGGACCAAGTGCTGCTAACTTCTATGCTTCTAAATGGTCTGTTTTATGTTATGTGTCTTTTATTTCAATTTCTTTAAGAAGATAATTCTGTAGGATATCTATGTATACAACTGGCATTTTGTTAGTAGCTCTCATGTACAAATGATAGATAAGCACCCAGAAAATAAATATGAAAAGGAAAAAGATCCTTTCTATACCTTAGGAACAAACAACACAAAACCACCTAAGAATAAAATTATCAAAAAGTAGGCAAAACCTACATGAAAATGCTCAACTCAACCAAATTTTAAAAATGTACCCAATCCTTGGTAGCAAGACTCAGTATCATAAAGATGTCAAGTTTTCCCTAAGTTAATTTACTAACTTAATGAGATTCCAATTAAAAAGCACAACAGACTTTTTAACTTGACATACTGCTTCTAGTATTTTTATTTTTATTATTTTTGGTACTGGGGATCGAACTTGGGCCCTTGTGCTTGCGAGGCAGGCACCGGAACCACTGAGCTAAATCCCCAGCCCAATATTTTGATTTTTTAAAAAGAATATATAGGAAATTATTTTTTTAAGTAATTATGAGTGAAAACTTCTACCAGATTTTAAAATGAACTAATTAAAATAATGGAGCATCAATACATAAACAGATCAGTGGAACAGAATGAAATGTCTAAAAACCTACCCAAACACATACCAGAATTTAGTAGGGGGTAGGGAATGTGGCATTTTAAATAAGCAAAGAAAAATGCATAGTGAATAAACAGTTTGTGTACAATTGTGCAATCACAAAGAAAACATAAGGTTGGATTCCTAATCTCACAGTTAGAGAATATAAATTTCAAAGAAAGCCACACCAGGCGTAGTGATATACGCCTGCAATCCCAGCACTCTGGGAAGTTGAGGTAGATGATCTTAAATTCAAGCCCCACCTGGGCAACTTAGCAAGATGCTGTCTCAAAATAAAAAGGGCTAGGGATGTAGCTCAGTGTAAAGGGACTAGGTTCAATCCCCAGTACAAAGGGAAAAAATGTTTTAATTGAACTATAAAAGAACTATATAGTAAACTATGGGAGAATTCTTTTTAACCTCAGAGAATATAAATTCTTCCTAGTTATAACCCCAAACCCAAAGGCATGTAAGAAAATAGTATGATAGGGTGGGGATGTAGCTCAGTAGTAGAGTGCTTGCCTAACATATATACAGACCTAGGTTTGATCCACAGCACCATAAGGAAGGGGAAGGGGAAGGGGAAAGAGAGAAACAGTGATAAATTAACCAAAAGAAAGAAGAGAAGGGAAGGGAGGGGTGAGGCGGAGGGGAGAAGGGGAAAGGAGAGGAAAACATTAATAAATTAAAGAAGAGAAAGAAATGTTAATAAATTTACCCACATAAAAGACTGAAAAACTCATAGCAAATACCACATAAGGCAGAAGAATACAAATGACAAACTGAAAAAATATTTGAAATTTTTATCACAGGAAGGCTAATTTCTCTAATATACAAAAAGCTCCTCAAGATCATTAAGATAATTTTAGTAAGAAAAAATGGGCAAAGAAAATAAATACAGTCCATAAAAAAGGAAATACAAATAGGTCTAAAAACAGGTAAAAATGCATAAATTGACTAGTACAAAGAAATTCAAATTAAAACTATGTTAAGAAAACATATTAAAAAACTTGACAGCATGCTGGCAAAGGTACTGGTAAAGTGAGACTATAAACTGGTAAAACATCAACAGAAATAATTTGGCAGTTATCTATCAAAAGCCTCTGATGCAGGACTTTCTATGAATTTAGCCTGAAAATACATTCACACATGTATGAAATGAGATACATATAAGGAACCGCAAGCTGGTTTTAATAGCAAAATTTCAAAAACATCAAGAAGTCCATCAAGGAACGACTGGTCGACCCGCTACAATGCATCTGTTCAAGAGACCAGGCAGCCTCTAAAGAAGACACAGAGAACTTCTTATGTACTGTCACAAATTAAAACCTACATTAAAAAGTAGTGCAGAGTGGCTGTTAGGATGGGCAGTGTGCACAGGATACTACCACTGGGGATGGGGGGAGTATAAAAAGTAGCAGAAGTGGAACAGTGCACACATACACACATCTGAGATTTTTGTACAGATAGTTTGTTATTTTTGTATGTATATATTTTTAATTTATAGATCTCTATACTTTATAAACACCCAGGGAGGGTGACTATACAGACAAAGAACAGGAAAGGAGGGTAACACTCACAACATCTCCCGCTACACATTTTTAATTCTGACCCATGGTCCTACTCCAAAAATAAAATTGTTTTAAAATAACATCATCAGAAAGTAGATATTAATATGAAGAAAGGTTTATGCAGTAATGTGGATTAACGGGAAAAAAAGGAACAAACAAGGCTATAGAATAATATAATATTAATCGTCCTTAATGCATCAGATGACTGAAAGGAAATCCACTGAAATCCTAAAGTCTACATCCAGGTAGCTGATTTTATGTGCTTTTATAGTTTATTTTTTTACCTTTTCTATAGTTTCCAAATTTCATTTAACAGCCACAAATTAATATCAATATTAAAAGTAATTTTAAAATTTGGTAGGTTTTGTATGCATAGAACCCTATCAGCTGATATAAAAAACAAAAAGATAAGCAAATTTATCTGCATCTCTCATCTGAGATAAAAAGTGAGAAATGTTTAAAAACTCAACTCTTTAGATTCTTAAAGCCAATTTTCCATTAAAAAAAAAAAAAAGAGTCAGGCATAGTGGCTCACACCTGTAATCCCAGCACCGGGGAGGCAGAGGCAGGTAGATTGTCATGAGCTTGAGGCCAGCCTGGGCTACATAATGAGTTCAGGGCCAGCCTGAACTATAAAGTGAGACCCTGTCTCAAAACAACAACAAAAACACTATGAGCTTTTAGGTCGGGCACGCAGTGCTCGTTTCCCTAGGGTTCTGAATGCAGAAGAAGGACGGGCAGGGCACTCACTCACATCAGTCTGCAGATGCGCAGGTGCTTCTGAGTTGTCGTTGATCCTCCGAACGCTGTCATAGTGCTCTCCGTACCGGTAGGCGATGTGCAGCTCCCGCACACTACTTTTGTCAGTACCTCGAATCTGCAGGCATGAGAGGGAAAGACACTGAAGAGGATCTGGCTGATGTCAACCTCCGAGCAGAAACGCCTTCCTGGACTGCCAGCAACCCCAGTCGGCGGGCTCCAGACAGAAATTAAACAGGGATGAGGCTGGGATATGGCACTACAATCTCAGAATTATCCTCCTCCCACCCTTGTATGCTTCAGCACGCTTTACTTGATATGTAACAATACAGAAATAAATCATAGCAAAACATTAAAAAACGGGCAGGTTTACAATGAAGTTAAGTAAGCTTAAGCTTCCCTGTTCTTAAAAGAAAAAGAGCACTTTCCATCAACTATATGGTGAGACATAATATCAGCAACAAAGTTATTTCAACTTCAGAGCAAAATCATACACAGTAAAGCAGGACTACCACACTGCACAACCCCAGAAGCACCACTCCCAAGGTACTCCATGTAAACAGCACCCCTGGGTACAGCACAACTGAGCCATGCAATGCAGAAGCCCTAAGGCAGATCACCAAAAGCCTCCACTTCCATAGAAATCTAAAGGAATTCTGACTCTGTCTCTTAGAAACTCCAGTAACTATCTCTTAAAACACCAAAACATTAACACCTCCTTCTTGTTTTTACTGGCAGTCACAAGTAGTCAAATACTACCATCAAACAATCTATACACGCCAAAAGCACAGCAAAAATCATGGAACAAACAAACCACACAGATCCAGACATCAGAACTGTGGAAGTCATTTCCAGAATGCCCAAATGTCAAAGTACAGAGTCTACTTCAGACAAACAGAATACGGTGACAACACAATTTGTCTCCCAGCAAGAACACTAGGAAACAATTTATTGGGATCTCTGAATAATGTAAACCCTGAAGTACTTATATACATTCTTATGTACAGATTATGAACAGAAAAAAATCGCTAGAAGAGTATTCAACAAACTGTTAGCTGTGATTTTCATGGCAGATCACAGAGGACTCTGCCTTCCTGTGTTACACACATCTATCTAGGCTGTTCACAGGAGCACATATTCTATTTCTAACCAGGAAAAAAATGCAAGTTTCAGTATCGCCATGTTAGAAGTATAGGCCTACCCATCAATAATTCAAGAGCTCTTACCCTTGACAACAGCAACAGTTTCAATTCTTAAAACTTTTACAAACTTCATGGGGGCGGGCAGAGTCAACACATAAAACAAATTTAGTTTTAAAATATATACTCTCATTGTTCAGCAATTTATTAACAAGAACACTATGGAAATAACTGAAAAAATTCTAACTAAGAAACTTTAAAAAGTATCAGTGAAAGAAAAAGCAGACTATGGTTACTGAGTTAACACTGAGAATTTTCCTTTAAGATTAAGCTCACTCTGCTATATATTCAAATGATTTTCACTTCTGCTGAGCAGTACTTTAGCAAGAAAAAACTGGATCAAAGGGGTAACTCATATTGTAGGCTCGCAGATCATCCTTAGAAAGAGAGCACACCACAGAAAATCTGATAGCTATACCTGTTGTCAGGACATCTGGCAACACGGCCCCAAAGAACACACAGATACTGTTTCTCTCCTGCTCATTTTATCCCTGTAAAGTAAAATGCCTCACCAACCCAGCGAGTATCTAATTTATTTTGTTTTAGTAAAATCTTACTAAAATGAGGTTTTCTGCCAGATACAAAAGGCCACTGATGTAACATTCTGGAAAAGCCACATTATACAAAAGAGACAAATCAGACAGTGGCTACAAGAGGCTGGGATGGGAGAGGAAATTAGTGACTACCAAGGGCACATGATAACCTTGTGGTGGAATTATTCCTAGACTGGCAAGAGTTAAACATGACTGTTCTTCAAAACACAGAACCATATATCGGAAAGGTGAATTCTCTGTAAGTAAATTATCTCTCTATATATCTGACCTTTTTTTTTTCATAAGCACAAGCTATGACTAAGCAATTTACAAGAGTACATGAGGTAGCATATAAAAAAGGGCACTATTACCCTTATAATAATAATAAAACATAGGTATACGTAAGGCACACATGTATACATCAATCCTTAAATGTAAACACCAACTAATCACTAATCATCAAAATGTTAATCATCTCTAGTGCAACTCTGGGTGATTTTTACTTATCTTTATGAGCTTTTCTGAATTTTTAAAGTTTTTACAATTAACACATTTTAACTTTCTAATGAGGAAAAAGTTAGAAATAGGGCAGTAGTGGGCCGGGGATTTATTTAGCTCAAGTGGTTCCGCCACCTGCCTCACAAGCGCAAGGTCCCGAGCTCGAACCCTGCTACCAACAAAAAACAAAAAATCAATTTCCTGCCTTGAAATAGGACAGTAGTAGGGAGGGTAAAAGAGGCTGCATGCTGAGTCTTCAGGAGCTGAACTACAAAGTGACAAAGAATACTGTGAATCTGAGGAGGAAGAAAATAAGGAGGAGAATAAGAGAATAAGGAATACACATACATCAGGCCACCTTTTGATCTTCCATACCCCAGAATGTTTGCTCTGAGGAACTATTTGAGATATATGGTTAATTAAGGATACCAAATGTGAACGAGTGAACAGATACTTTACTTTGCGGGGGGCACGACACGACACAACACGACACGTCACTACAGGGCTACCATTTTACAGCACAAATGTTACATTTGTTGTAATTATGTTTTCTGTATGAGACCCAAAGAAACCATTATGTATAGCTGGGCGGAACATGATGTCCTACACCATAAACTAGATTTAATTGCTGCTGAGAACGTATTTTTTTTTTTAGCAAAACTTACTATAATAAATTTAGTCTTTGTTTCCACCCACCTAAAAAGCACAGCAATATACAGGGCAATGGGCATCCTGCAAAACTAGAATTTTTATGTACTGATGCTTTAAATTCTCAACTTTATGGAATTATTTAAAATATTTCCACATTAGGCTGACTCCAAATTACCCAATGGATTAATATTTATAGCATCTAAAGGGATTTCTAAATTATACTCTAGATTCCATTTGTCAACTCCAAATCACCACAAAATCCTTGTCTTTGGTCAGGCTCACAGTCCGAATTATTCTGCATAGCTCAGGGTCACGGGTCAAGCCCCCATCCAAAAAGCTAATTTATAGATAAATTCCTGAATAGGTGACCTACCTGCCACAAAGGGGCATTAAGCTGATGAATCACCACATTCAACTGATGGTTTCTTGCAAATGCTACAATTGCATCATTACCAGCAAAAGTACCAGACTTTGCCAAACTGGCCACTGCATGAAAACAGGAGAGAAAAATAATGTCTTTAAAATAGAAAAGCCAAATATAAGCATGCTTTAGTATTTAGTTCCAAAAAAGAGAAACAAGATTATCTGTAAAGTCCATTAGTTATTTAGGAATTTAACTGGTTAAACAATATGCAGATTGCTACTCAGATGAGCACTAACAATTAAAGAAGGACTCATTTATTCTTTCAATAAAGAAATTTACTGAATACTTCCAATGTGCCTAACTGAATAAGTCACTGAACATACAACGGTACACACAGTAATCACACAGTTCACACTAATGAAAGCTTATTATGCACGCACCAAGCACTACTCTAATAATTTTTGAGATTATTACTTCTAGTTCTCAAAATAACGTAGGGGTACTAGGCATGCCACTTGACAGATGAGGAAACTTAAGGCATAGAATATGCCCATGGCCACACAGACTATACATGGCAAGCTGAGATTTCTCCCAGGCAGCCTGACTCCAAAACGTTGGCTCTTTGTCTGCTCCATCAGTGAACCCTCAACAGTTTCCAACCAGCAAGAGCACACAACCAGAAGATGGGCACTAATGATGCATAAAGGCATCTGGAAAGTCATGTGGAGTAAGGAACATGCCTTGTCCAAAGAAAGCCTAGCCTTTATCCCAGGCTCCCATGAGGTAATCTCTAAACCTCTGGAAGTTCCAAAGGAGACAATAGTGTCTCTGTTATTCATAATGGACCAGGTCTCTGGACCATATCTTACAACAACCATTTACCACTCCAACAGTCAATCAATAAAACAACAAACCAAAACTATGAAGTTGAACTGACACTGAAGTTAGGGTAAGCTTTCTGGGTTAAGAATACTGAGTACACCGCACACAGGAATGGCAGGCAGTAATGCTTTCCAAAGACAACGGAAGCTTTGTATTTGGAACCTTCCCAAACCACCCTCTGCATCAAGAGGCAAAGGGGCCAATCCACACCGCACTGAGGGAACCTGAGAAAGCAGAAATGGAAGCCTAGTTTTATGAGGTGGCAGCAGTGAGAGGAAGAGACTTTATCTTGGATCGGGCCCTACTCACTATCCTCAGTGGCTGCCTTGGTGGAAACCCTCCTTTGTTCTCACCTGGTCAAAAAAGGGAAGACGCCCTAACTAGCTTCTCCTTCTGATCTCTCCCCTTATCTATTCTTTTTTTTGTTTTTCCTTTGGTATAGGGGACTGAACTCGGGTCTTTGCGCTTGCAAGGCAGGCCACCAAACTGCTGAGCTAAATCCCCGGCTGTCCCCTTATCTACTCTTGACATGGCCTTCAGAGTCAGGGATTACAATACAGAAACAAATCTGTCTGTTTCCAAATAAGGACAGATGGAAGAGAACATAAATCTACTGGCTCCTGGCATGGGAGGGCCCAGTAAGTATGTGTTGAAAGTTTAAAAGTTCATGTATATTTTTTAAATAGATTTGAATAGAAACTAATTAAAATCAGTAACTGACTTGCCTCAAAGTAAATCAGTTGTGATTGGGTTTTAGGTAACTTTATTAATTTCTTAAAATGTAAAATACACAATCATTTAAAAATAATAAAACAACCTACTGATAATTTAAAATATTCATAGGCCCATTATCCTTAACTTATTAAGAACTTATTTTAATTTTGTCATTATTTATTCATCACCAAAAAACTCTATGAGACAGATGATTTTATGGTTTCCTTATTACAGAAACTTAAAGACAGTTCTGAAAAGTAATAGCTGAGAAATAGCCATAAAATATTGGGGTATATACCCACTATTTTATAGTCTGTTTTTTTCACTCCATTGCTAAAAAGTAATAAACAGCTTTCCAGGCCAATTAATGTCATTGGGGGGGGTGCTAAGGATTAAACCCAAGGCTCATGCATACCAGCAATATCACTGAGCTACACCCTCAGGCCCCAACACCATTCATTGTATTGAGTAAATACATCTAAATCTGCCTAGCCTGCCTCGCCCATTGCTTTCCAACTGCCTAGCATTATTACCTACTACATAGTATGCAAGTAAGTTCTCTGTTGAATAAACGAATGCCACGATTTATATGATCAAATGCCCAGCAGGGAGGACGGGGTGCCAGTGGACTTCATACCCAATGCATTACTCCTGAAGGATCCAGTGTCCCACGGTGAACCTACCATGCTTCTCAAAAGGAACATCATCTTCTACAAAAGGCTCAAAATCTTCCCGCTGCTTTATCATGTAGTCCACTGTCTCCTGTCTGTGCTTCAGATGATTCCTCGAGTGTCCCTCCAGTTGATCACCAAGGGCTCTGAACAGGCAATTGCTGTCAAAACAAAAACGATGGTCAAGACCTTTCAAAAGCGAGCTTAGTTCATCTAAAAACCAATGATGCTCCATGCTAGTCAACCCACGAAAAACTTTTATGCTCAGAAGAGGTAAAGTCTCAACCCTAACGTGCCAAGATTCTTCCCAAAGGCTGAGGGTAGAGCCCTAGGACTGATTCTCACATTAACTTCTTGAGAGGCAACAAAACAAGGATTCTAGTACCCACTTACCAACTGGCTCACGAAAATCATTTAACTTCTCTGGGCTTCAATAAGTGATGTTGGTAACAGACCAACTGCCTGAATACAGGGTGCAGACCTTATCCTGGGATAAGAACTGTGATTCTCAGATTTCCTTTCAAAATAATGTCATATCTACCAGCTCTTTTCTGAACCAAGTTTCACTATAGCTGCTCAGCTAGGGAATGACTCATTTAACAAAGGGTACCCAAAAGATAGCAATCTGTCAGGCTCCCACTACAGACTGAATAGGAAACACAGACGACAAATGGTTGGTTATACTACAGAAAGACACTTTCCCCTCCTCGCCGCCTCACCTATCAGCCAGGGAGCAATAATACTGTTATTCCTGAAAACAAAAACTTTATAAATACTGTATTTTGTTTTTCTAAAATTCAAATACCAGTAGCAAACTTCAAGAGTTATCTTTACTTTCAAATCCCTCAAAGACTCCTAAAATTCCAAACTATATATCACACAGAGCCAGATACACGGAGACCAAAAGAAGACAGACACAGCCTGGTCCCCTACACTGAAGGAAACAAACCATTCTGAAACCAAATAGCCAGTTTCACACCTAACTGTTAACGCTTCCAAATGAAAGACAATGATACTCTAATTCCAAAATACAAATTCATTACTTTCAGAAGAATTTCAGACTTAAATGTGTAGGAGAGAAATATACTCTTTTTAACTCAGAAAAGTAAGTTTTTAATAGAAAGTTACAGAGAGGCAAGAATATCTTCTAATACATAAGGATGTATACTTTGGTGAGGAAGGCAGGAGGAAGGGAGAATTTAAATAAGGGGGAGTCTATACATTAGAAACCAAGAAGCTGTGCATCCACCTGGGACAAGAGTCTAGAAGGATTCAGGATATACAGTTCTATAAACTAGACTGAGGTGCCATCTATTGCTAAAATCTAACAGCAGCAATCTTTTTTCAACTACTGGGGGAAAGTAGGCTAATGGATAAAATATTTTCAATATCAAGTTTTTCTCTCAAATTTTTCTTAAACCTTTAGCATCTGCCACAAGTCCATTTTTTAATGTAGTCTAAGAAGTATAAATTAGCACAAAATTACATATGTAGTTATTTAATATACCAAAATCCACAGTATTCTACAGAGAAAGACATTCTCGTTAAGAACTCTTAGTACCATGGGCAAATGTTCCCCATATAAGCCCCCAAAGCACATATATACACTGTCTACTGCATGAGCTTGACCACGGTCATCTGTGCACTGCACGGTGAGACACACGGAGATGTACATAAGGAGAAAACACTGAAACCACCTAGATAGCTCTTACAATACACCAAGGACTGCTGTGACCACTTAACTAAATGTACTCAGTCCTCACAACTATTATTATTCCCCAAGGGCAACCTGTCCGGTCACAAAACTAGTAAGTGGTGGGGGCTGGGACTCAAACCCAGGAAGCCTGGCTCTATCCCACACTCTTGCTCAGATGTGAACACCAAAATATTAGCCGTAGCTGTCCACAGGTAATAGGAGTAACTGTTACATTTATTCTATATACTTTTTTTTTTTCACTCACCAAACTTTCTGTGAACCCACTAAAAACAAGTCAGGAGAGGCCAAAATCACTTGTCTGTCTATTACAGTTACAAGGGAGTGACACAGGAAACATGACAAATACCTCAGTAACCTGGGCTCCCTAGGGAGCCCAGCAAAAGCACCTGAGATGCTGGGAGAACAAACACAACGCCATTGCCCTGAGGACTTCAAGGAGACCCAGCTGTTTCCCAAGTCCACAAGCTCACTACCGTGCTACAGCAGAGCTTCTCCACCTCCACACTACAGTCTGGGGATTATTCTTTGCTGTGAGCACCGCTCTGTGTGCCGTAGTATATTACAAGCATCCTTGGCATTTGCCCACCAGATGCCAGTGGCGCATCACCACCTTCCTCCCCACCAGTATGACAACCAAAACTTATCTCCAGACACTGCCAAATATCTCCTGGATATCATCCCAGCTTGACAGCCACGGTGTTTTAAGGATATAGGCAAGGTCTTACATGTGAGATCACAAAATTCTTCAGTTGGTTATGCGATATTGCAGGTACCACCTTGCCAACAATGATCATGCTTATAGCGAGATGCTCTCTTAGGCTACTCAAATTGTAATCAGACCAAAATGGAAAGAGAAAATGGAAATTGTCAACTTTTTCATAGTACCATAATTTCATTATCTATAACCCTGAGTACTCAATAAATACTAATACATTAAAAAATCTGCTGACACTACCTAACCTATCACATAGGAAACAGCATCCTCTGCACGGATAAAGACCAACAACACCATGTTCGAAGAGGGCTGAACCAGTCCATCTCATGGCACCCAAGTGAACAATGTGTGAGCAGAAGGCAGTTAGCTTCATGAACTCCACACAAGAGGAAACACCATGATCATTCTAACACTACCCAAAGAACAAGCTCAGAAGTGGGACACAAATGCATGGAGCTGCCTCTGACCCTGCCTGCACCCTTGGATTCTAACTCCTGCACCGTCCTACATAACCTGTTCAAACGCAATGTGCCCCTAGGGCACTGCATTTACTGCTCAACCTTCAGAGTTCGCCTAGTTATGCCCGTTGACCTCCGTGACCCAGTCAGCACAATCTCCTCAGAGGTTTCTAGCAGGGTCTGGAATGAGTATCTGCTGAATAGAACGGCAAGGCCCTCCTGGCCACTCCCTTCCAAAGGGTACTACAGTCAGTCACAGATATTAGGACTACTTCAAACAGTGCTTTTCAATAACATGTTTCCAAAGTGCAGCTCAGAGGGTTAGGGAGGTAGGAAGGTCTTCTGAGACCCTTTCAGGATACCCGTGAGTTTAATACCAAGATGTAATTTACTTTCTTCTTTCTTGTCTCACAAACACACCATGGAATTCACTAGAGGCTACCTGATATGTGACATAGCACTCATACAGCGGGCATGGACAGCTAATGGAACTGTTTGCAGGCTTCCGTGTTTTAAAAATGTGTTGTACAGTGGGCATGGTGGCGCACATCCATTATCCCAGCACTCCAGTAGGCTGAGACAGGAGGATTACAAGCTCAAGCTTAGCCTGGGTAACTTAACAACTCTGTGAGTCTGTCTCTTAAAAAGAGCTTATAATGTAGCTTAGTGCAAAGACTTGAGTTAAATTTCCAGTACCATAAAAAAAATAGTAACTAGTAAAAAATAAAAATGTGTTTTACTTTCTAATAAATATTGAACAAAAAAGTCTAGGATTCCTCAGTAATTTTTAAGAATGTAAAAGGGTCCTAAAACCAAAATGTTTAGGACCCACTGTTATGTTTCTCCCTTAGTAGGCTATGAACTTCCTACATATCTTAGCCGCCTTGCCTAACAGTATGGAATGAACTAACTGGAAAAGTATGGTCTCCCTGATGGAGAGGACAGGAGCATATGAAAGCCCCCACAGGACTCTACAATTCCCTGTACTCTGAGGCTTGCTGTGAACAACCTTCTGCCTAGCACTTGTTTCCTGGCCACCTGGACAGAAACAGGCTGCCAAGTACGTCACACGAACTCACAAATAATCCAAACATTTGCAAGAAAGGATCTCACCTCAACTCCACTGTATTCGACTAGTGTTATGGTTTATTCAGCAGTGTCTTGTGCTTGCTTATACGTGGGCTAGCTGACCACTCACCCTCTGTACCTTCATGATTCACTCAGCAAAAATGTACTGCGCTGCATGGCTTCTATGTTCGAGGCACTGTGCTGGGTGATGGTGAATAAATGCAATCAAGCTCTAATTGAAACTTAAACAAAAATAAATACCAAGGCGGGCAGATGGGGTAAACTCTGAATGCACAGAAACCAAATCTGCCTAAAGCACTGAAAGCAAAGCTGGGACAGGTAACTAGGGTGAATTTATTACAGTCTGGAGCTGCAATGTAACGTAAAATTGAGAAAACAATTCTTCCGCAATGTATACCTACGGAGACTCCATATGGTTTTTAGCTTCACCTTATTCTTTCCTCTGCCTAACCTGAACCGCACCCCACCCCGATGGAGGAAGGAAAAAGGTGGCACCTTATCATCAATTCCATCTCTTGCAGCACCACGCCTGGCAACCAGACCGATGGGGATGCTGTTTTCTCCTCCCTCTCCTGTATCGTGTTCCTTCTTCCACCCAGGCTCCTAGGTCCACGCTTCCGGTCCTAAAGTCACTTTCCCTTCCCCTCCAGCCTCCCTTCATTTATCCCGTGTTCTCTAAAAAAGAGGACCTTGGATTCCAGTCCAAGCCCCACGCAAGTGTGGGTAAGCACTTTTGCTAATAGAGAAATCTAAGCCCGTGTAAGTAAAGCCAAGAGAAGTTGCCTTCAGCTTTGGTAAGCTGCAGAACCTCACAAGCCTAATTTACCAAGTGGAGAAGGGAGTCACAGCCAAGAGCAAAGGTCAGGGGATCCTCAGCGGAGCTCTATCTATGGGTCTTAGCGTCATTATGACCGCTCCACCTCATTCCTTCCAGTTTCGGCTTAAACGTCACCTCAGGCGTTCTGTTCGGCTCCAGCGTTCTATCTCAGGACCCATTTCTAGTTTCCTCGCCGCGTCTGCCCCCACTAGGAGCCTCTGGGGTCACTGCCCCGGGGCGTGGGGCGCCTCGCTGCCGCCGGACACCGCATCAGCACAGCGGC